TTCTTTTATTTCATTTTTTTTTGTTATGAATAATAACATAAAATAACATTCGAGAAAATTTTAGTGAATCCAAAATTGGGTTACAACACCTTGAAAGGCAACATTTTTGTGCAAGCATGACAAATGTAAACTCTTACACTTTAAGCATGTTCTTAGTCTCTTTAGCCAGTTAAAATCTTAATTACATGTACATTTTCAAGACTTGTGAGGAAAATAATAATGCAAAACTAAAAATAAAAATTTTGGGCTTACTAATTAATTGGGCTTGGCTTAACCAAGGCTTGATTGAGCTGAATCTTTTAACTTGATCGAGCTAACTTGAGTTGATTTTTTTCATCTCAATTGAGCTATCATGTAACTTGATTATGAAGATTATCAAAGTCTGACAGGCTCACCCCCGCTCTCTCTCTCTTTCTCTCTCACTAATGCCTATGTTGTTTTTTCAAGATATTTTACAGCTATCACAATGAAAAATATCATAGTGACCTGCTCAAATATTTTGCAAGATAGGATATATATATTCTTAGATTTAGTAAGAGAGGAGTTTTTTTTCCATCTCAACAATATAAAGAGAATATTGAGTTTTTCGACACGTAACTAAACATTATTTTTCATCCTCTTGGTTTTTTATGCTTGTTACTTGATCAATCAAACTTAAATATTATCTCCAGTATCAGAGTATTTCTTATTCCATGATAGACTTGTTTTTACAAGAACAAATTAAGCAAGCTTAGAACTCAGCAAAAAAAAAATAATTTATTTTAGTGTGAAGTTTTTTTTATGACTTTATCAAGTATATTTTAAAAATATATATTGACTGTTGTGAGATCTATAAATAAATTTTGGTAAATTAGATCTATAAATAAATCTTGGTAAATTAAGGTATAATTTTTATTTCTTTGAGATTTCATAAAAGTTTCTTAATTTTTTTTTTATAAGTGAAGGGGATTTTGAAATCTTTTCAAATTTTGAAGGAGAAGGCCTCTTTTTGACTATTAAAAACTTGCCTTTAATTAAATCCTTTAATTAAAATCATGATTTAATTATTCATGTTTAACATTACTAAAATAACATTTTATTTGTATACTAGCTTCAACTTCTTCTTTTCTAAATTTAGTATAAATGACGACTTTTTAATTGATTATCACGAGTTTAAAATTACAATTAACTTCAAAGCATTTGTTGTATTTTGTATATGATGCTTTTTTAAAAAAAAGTATTCAAAATTAGTTTGGAATGACTAATTCCAAGGTTTGGTTCTTAAGTTTATTGAGTCAATCTAAATTAATTTTAAAATAATATTGTTTTGAAAAAAAAAATTTTTAGTTGATCTAGTCAAATTTCATTCTAGTATGGTTGAGTTAATCAACTTAGTGATTTTCAACCAATTTAATATGAATTTAACAAGGCCAACCTATAAACTAATTTAAAAACCTGACATAAGCCAAACATTGATTTGATGAATTATAGGTTGATCCACGAGGCTAGTTTAATAATTATAATTTTTAGTCAAAATAAAGCAATCACAACATAATTTAGATACTAATCTTCTCTTTCTTTCTTGATTCTTGACTAATTCTAAGTAGTCTTAGTATGTATTTGATAATGTGATGAATTTTGTTTTTCAAAAGTATTTTTTAATTAAAAATGAATTAAAATATATTTTTAATATTTTCTTAAAATTTTTAACATTTACATATCAAAATTATAAAAAAACATTTTAAAAAAATCAATTTAATGCATTTTCAAGTGAAAAACTAATTAAAAAAGCACTTTAAAAATAAAAAAACTACCACAACGCTAAACATATTTCTATTTATATCTTATGTCTTGACTTGTGCTTATATATTATTAAGTTTTTTTTATTTTATAAAAATTTATTTCTCTAGAACCTTTTAAGTTTATTAATTAGGATGATATGCTATATGTCAATCATATGCACTTACGGCTAGCTTGTTTGGAAGTGTGATTATGATTGTTTTTTAAAGTAATTTTTACTTAGAAATGTATCAAAATAATATTTTTTTTAAAAAAAAATTATTTTTGATATCAGTGTATCAAAATGATCTAAAAACATAAAAAAATATTAATTTGAAGCAAAAAAATAAAATTCTTTTATATTTTTTCAAAATTGCTTTTAAAACAAAAAAATAAAAAGGATTGATAAATATTATTACATTTAAATAAAAGAAAACAATACTATTTAATAATCTTACCTTCTTACTTTGGAAATGTGAATAAATCACAATTACATTAAATTGAAATAACTATAATAAGCACCTATCTTAAGCATAGTCTTATAGTACAAATCTGGTTTAATTGGCTGTATTAAATACTATTGTTTTATTATATTTCATTTAATGAATAATGTTATTTAATTTTAAATTTTCAAATTAAAAATAAAAACTTGTTGTGCTAGCATAAGTCCGTCTACTTTATTTATATAAAAAATTTGTGTAAATGATTATCAAATTATTTTTTTTAACAAAATAGAAGATAATGAGTTTTTACCATGAAAAAAGTTGTTCCTTTAAGAAACCATAGAGACATAATTCTGTAGGACAAACAATTTTTTTTTAGGAACCTTTTTCAAAAGTTTCTCTAGCTAAATCTTACTTCTTTTGATTATGTGTTTTTTTATTTTATTTTATATAAAAGTATTTATTTTTAATTTATATATGTTCTTTTAATAAATACTTACCATGATTTGAAAAGTAAATTCTAATAAAAAGCAAATAATTACGCTCTGATAATTTTTATACTACTTTATGTGAAAATAAAATAATACTTAATTTAAAAACTTAGTAATAATAAAAATATATATTTTATTCTTATTAAATAGTCAAGAAAAACTTTTTAAAAAGCATTATACATATTATTTTCATATTTAATTATTCATGAAGTAATTGCTAATACTATCATCTAAAACCTCTAATAATATGAAAACAATATTATCACTTATGATTTTTAAAATAACATTATAATTGTTTTATTTAAAAATAATTTTATTTTAGAATATTTAAAATTATAAAATAATAAAAAAATCAGATACTTGGATTCGGTTAAAAACTAAGGCCCAAGCACCTAACCTTAAAAAGGAAAAAGCTTAGTCCTATGTATCTGCTTTTGTTTTTGATTAAAATAGATAATGTATCATATTTGATTATTTTATATAGGTAGTGATGTGTCATCAACTACAATAAATTTGATTATTTTTGATAACTGAAAAATTAAGATTTGGGGAAGTTGAATTCCAAAACTTAGATTTTAATCTAATTTTCACCAAATATATATATATATATATATTAGGAATTTTAATAATCACATTTCCAATCCTAAAATATATTTTAATCAGTCTCAAAACTCAAAATTAAACCTAATTTAAACAAATTTTTTGAACTCTAATTTACCTTTTTATCATGATTAAATGCTCAAATCACTTTCATTGAACTCCCGTCTTTTCGATGAATCCATTAACATTAAAATTGATTTTTTTTGTGGTCGATTGAAATCTTTCTCTCTCCTTTTTGTTTTTTTGATGATTTTCTCCCTTCTGTTCTAACACCCAAGAATTGAAACAAGGGAAAAAAAAAATAAATTTAAGGATCAGAGTGTCAACTAAAAACAACATGAACTAGAGATGTAAATATAAAAACTTTAAGGATGAAACTAGACATTTCAAAGCACAATAGATACATTTTAGTAATCCAGCAGCGCTTCAGTACGTAAAACATCTAGTCCTTATAATTTATTACTTTTAATTTAATAGCAAAATCCTGTTAATTTATTTGTCCACCATGTAAGAAATACAAAATAAATCGCTTAAACCACCTAGAGTAGGCGACTATCTAACTTTATTTTTACTTTGATCAATAGCAGATAAACAAATAAATATGGTTGCTTGCTTTTTAATTAGTAAATATATGATGGGAAACCACTTCACAGTTTAAAAATCATGGATAATCATGGCGATGCTGGCTTTTGGTAATAATTATGTTTACTTTTTACTAACACGCGAAGATGATTATGACGTAATACTCTTAGGCACAACCAATCTTGGATTGATTGGTGTAATCAAGACTACTCAAAGGTTTTGTTGATTTTCACCTGATGGCCTCCAGCTAAATTATTTGATGATTCTACCACTATAACTACCCAGCAACTGTCGTTTATCAAAGCATATTTGAGATTTTTTGCGCTGAAGCAAAATGGCATTTGAATAATAAGTAGGAGTGCCAAATGAGACATGGCAGGACTGAAGAACAAATAATTTCTTTTCTGAACTCTAAATGACTATATAAATAGTTTTTTTTTGGTTGAAATATCAGTAGGGCTACGTTGACAGTGCCTGCATAGTAGTGCCCTCATTCCAGAGGTCAAATAATTTAGTAGTTCTGATAGTTTGCACTGTAAATAAAAAGATCGATCCAAGAACCTGTCGACAAACTCTTTCTAAATAGAGACAATGGTTTTGATACGTTTATGAAAACAGTCATGACATCGTCTCTAATTGATGCACAATCGCCAAAATTAGTTCCAGAATGTTAGACAGAACCACTGTCATTCTGTCAAAGCAATATACTAGGAAGACAACTGTTCATCTCCTCGTTCCCAAATTCGTTAAGGAAGCCAAAAATCTATGGACATTTGTATATTAAGTTCGAAACACATGATTTGAATGTCCGTTGTGCATAAAAGACTTGCAAGATATTTTCGAACTAGCTTTATATATTAAAGAAAAATTATTTTGTATGCTACCCCATAATTTGATTCCTTGAATATAATGGGAAAACAACTTCTTCTTTTTTTAGGATAACTATGGAGTAATTGAAGTAAGATTATGTTTATTCGCGAGCTGTGCCTTGTGTTTTTGATGAGTGCACCGCACGGTACACTTAGCAAACAAACACACTCAAAATACCTAACGTAAAAAAAGAAAGAGTCACAATCTTTCCATAGATTGAGAGAGACTCGAAAGTCTTAACATATTCCTCTCCGTTTCCACTTGTAGAAGGACGAAAAAAATAAAAATCGATCGTTGCATAAATCATGCTTGTGCAAAGAACAAAAGAAGAGCGACACGCACAGGAGACGTACAGATCCTACACTACATCGATTGAGGACACGACTCAAAGTCACTGCGACTCCTCAGTCGTCTTCCCTTTTTTTCCCGTCTCTCCCTAGTCCCTAGCCTCCCTCCACCCCTTGAAAGGAAAAAAGAAAAAAGCTCTTCAGGGGAGTTGGGATTTAGAGGGAAAGATGACTATGGACAGAAGGCAGCGGCATCGATATTATGGAGCAGCTCTAAAACCTACCAGATTTGAAACACGTTGGTGTCTTCTCCTGATCTCTATCTTCCTCTTTTTGAATACAAGAACTCTTTCTTTTGATTATGGTGATGCCTTAAGAAAGAGCCTCCTTTACTTCGAGTCACAACGTTCCGGTCGCTTACCCTACAACCAACGAGTCACTTGGCGTCACCATTCCGGTCTCACCGATGGCTTAGAACAAGGAGTTAGTATAAACTTAGTTTCTTGACTACCATATATTAATCCCTCCCTAAAATTTTTACATTTTAATTTTCTCAAAATAATCAATTGAATTTTTTGTAGGTAGACTTGGTTGGAGGATATTATGATGCAGGCGACCATGTAAAATTTGGACTGCCAATGGCGTTCACTGTGACCATGCTTTCATGGAATGTAATAGAATTTCAACATCAGATTGCCATTGCCGGAGAATTAGAACATGCCTTAGAAGCAATTAAATGGGGCACTGATTATTTCATCAAGGCACATACCAGCCCGAATGTGCTATGGGCAGAGGTATGATACATTGCATTAATTACAATTCAAATTGGTATTACCTTGCTGCTTTTATGTACATAATTAATTATTCAAACTTTATTGCCCCATATTGTAAGGTGGGTGATGGTGACACCGACCACTATTGCTGGCAACGGCCAGAGGACATGACCACATCACGGCAAGCTTACAAGATCGACGAGAATAATCCTGGGTCAGATCTTGCTGGAGAAACTACGGCGGCAATGGCTGCAGCTTCAATAGTGTTCAAGGGAACAAACCCGCATTACTCTCACCTACTCTTGCACCATGCCCAACAGGTAAATTCAAAGACCAACTTTAGTCATAAGATAACTTAGATCTTGCGGGGTTATGATTTCAACTTACAATTTCATACAACTCTTTATTCTAGCGGATTCTGTATTAGTGCAACATAATTTTATAATCATTGTTTTGGTGGAGTTGTTTGAGTTTGGAGACAAGTACAGAGGTAAATACGATGAAAGCGTGGGGGTGGTGAAAAGCTACTATGCGTCGGTGAGTGGATACAAAGACGAATTGCTGTGGGGAGCTATGTGGTTGTACAAGGCCACCGGCGATGACAAGTATTTGGAGTACGTCATCGGAAATGCTCATTGTTTCGGTGGGATTGGCTGGGCCATGACAGAGTTCAGTTGGGATGTCAAGTATGCTGGCCTTCAAATCATGGCTTCCAAGGTAAAAGCAAACCTTTTCATCTCTCATTAATTACATGCTTCAAGTTCAAAAACGGCTATATTGGTTTTGGAAATCTTTATAGGATTTTGCTTTTGTCCAGTTTCAAAGATGAAATAATATTAATTTACTTTAAATCACACTTTCACTTTTTTTTCTCTCTCCCCTTCTGATAAAGTTCATGAGCCATGGTTAAGGTATCGGGCTATAGAGTTATAAACAAAAAAGTTATCCAGAGGCATAAAACCATGTACAGGTGTTTCAAATTTTTTTGTTCGGCAATTTTTAAATTAATCCCCCAATTATGCAGTCATTCTAAGTTGAATCTCAAAAGAATTGTCCTTTTGAAATTGGATCCTCAAAGGTCAACGAATTAATTCTTAGTTATATACTGACAAAAAAAACATGGATATTTTCTTACAGCATAGGCAGGTTACTTGATAACGAGCTATTGGCTAGTTTCTCGAACAAAAATCATTCCTAGAAAATTCTAGATATTTTTTACATACAGACAGGTTACTTAATCACGAAGCATAAACATATCGTCCAAACAAAAACTATAAGTAGATTACTTGATCACGAGCCTTAGGCTGGTCGTCAAAACATGGACCATTTGTGAAAAGTCATAGATATTTTTCATACATGGATAGGTTACTCGATCATGAGTCATGAGCTGATAGCCTGAACAAAGATCACTCATGAAAAATTCTACATATGTTCACACACAGGCAAGTTATCTAATCATGAGTTATAAGTTGTCATTTAAACAAAGACCATTCGTGAAAAGTCCTAGATATTTTTCATAAATGAGCAGGTTAACCGATCATGAACCATGGGTTGCTCACTTGAATAGAGACCATTTGTGATAAATTCTAGATATTTTTTACACATGGGCAGGTTATTTGATCACGAGTCATAGGTGTCACTCGAACATAGACCATTCATGAAAGATCCTATATATTTCTTACACACGGGAAGGTTACCTGATCACGAGTCACAAGTTAGTTTCCTGAATAGAGATCATTCATGAAAAAATAAAAATATTTTTAACATAGTCAAATTACCTGATCATGAGCCATGAGTAGGTTAGTCGAACAGAGACCACGAGAAGGTCGCTCAAACATAAACCACATGATGATTACCCGATCACAAACTACGAGATAATTACCCAAACATAAACTATTTATTAAAAATTATAGATATCTTTCACATAATAGACATATGCTCAAATAGCTAACACCATTTTGATTTGTTAGAAATCCCTAATGGTTTTTTCTCCCAACTTGGAAAGGTTTTCACACTATTTTCTTTTCTTTACAAACTTATTTTATAAAGTCCTTTAAAAAGACTTTATACTGTAAGTATTGTAAAGAGGAGAAAAACTGTTATAACCTAATTTAGGGTCCTCTAAAATTATTTGTATATTTTTCTTTTTTATTCAAAAATTAAAAATTAAAAATTTAAAATCTAAAAATATTTTAGAGATACGAAGAGATAAGCTTTTAAGTTGCAAAATACCAAAATACTAGAAGAATAGCTATATTGGGAGATTTCAACAACATGAGATGAAGAAAGAAAGAAAATTGAGGTTGAGATCCAAATATGACCAAAATTAGAGGAACCAGTTAGGTTTAGGACTTAATTAAACTTTTAAAAGGTCTGATTCACTTAATTAAGGACTCAATTTAAGTAAAAATTAAGTTTGAAAGTCAATTAGGTAAAAAATAGAAGACTTAAATAAGTTTAAAAACTTAATTAAACCTTTAATGAGTTTTGCGGATTCAAATTAAGAACTTAATTAAAAAAAAATCAAATTTGGAGGCCAAATTAAGATGAATTTGCAAAGATGGGAAGATTAGGGACATAATTGAAACTTTAAGAAGATAATTTGGTACAATTAGGGGTTCAATTGAAAGATATTTGAAATATGAAGTTCAATGAGTACAACATTGAAGAAATTCAAAACCAAAAATCAAATTTAAAGTAAAAAATGCTGGAATTTAAGGGTCCAATTGAAGAAGGCTCAGGGTGAAATTCCAAGGAATTTGAAAGATTAAGGCTAATTAGGGGGCTCCATAGCAAAGTGTCAAAGGTTTAGGGACCAAATTGAAATAGATTATATTTTTACTATTCAATATCTTTTTCCCAAAAAAAAATAAAAAGATGCCTAGACACCCACATTTTAGCCTTAATTTCTCCCTTATCTCTTCATCAAACTACACAAATCTCTTGCCAACTTACACCCTGATATTTGTACTTCACTCTAAGACAACATTCTAGCATTTATTACACTAAAAACTCATGCAGATTCTCTCCTAAAAACACTACCCATCACTGCTCTTCCTATAAAAACAACCTTATATCCTTTCTTTTTCGGTTGCAGAACAGGATAAGCTTTTTTTCTTAGCTTTGATGAATGGCTTGGGTATATTCCTCAATAGGAAGGGTCAAGATCCTATCAACCTATAAGATGTAGAACCTCTCTAATTATTTTATAAAAATCCTATAAAACCCAAACTCAAGCAACATGTGGGAAGGGAGAGGAGCATTGCCACAAACATTATCTCCCAGCCATGACTACTATTGCACATGTATGTGTGATGTGGTGGGATGTCGAGGTCAATGAGTCACCATCAAATTGTTTTGTTTAAGGTCACTACGTGACCCAAGTGGACTAATTTTATCAGAAATTCTAAGGTAAGGGACTGGTTGTGGTTAGGAAAGCTATTATAAGTCCTAATGTACTTTACTTTAGGTAAGCTATATTGTGTGGTCTGGACGTGATTTAAAGGTGTTGATGGGTTCGTAATAGATGATCCATTTATGGCTCAAAATAAATATTTATGTTCATGAACAAACCAACATTTTAAATTTATTATAAGCTTGTATGCCTTGATAAATCCATATAGGAAGAATTCGTGTAGGTGTCATGAAAAGGATTCACCTATCCTGCAAGGCAAAAGCATTTTCCACAACTTGTATATTGTGATGAAAAATACTTTCATTTAATATTGGTGAATATTATAAAATAATTCTAAGAACTTTCTAGTTAACTCCTGATATTTAAATACTAGCCTATTTGTTTGTCCAATATTTATACTAGAATATTGACCATTAATTTTTAGAAGAAAAACAATTAGAGTTATTGAAATATTGGTCAAATCCTTAAGGATTCTTATAAATGACACGATCAAAGAGTTGATGTCTTATCCCAAGTGCAGAAGTGTCAAAGTAATAAATAACCTAGCAAGACCGGGGTCAAACCATAAGGAGGTTAGCTATATAAATTATAAATAAAAACAACAACAACAACAACAACAATAACAACAATAATGATGATGGTGGTGAAGATAAGTTAAAGAGGACTTTGAGATTTAAGATTAATGTGAAGCTTATAAAATGATAAAAACAAATGTCAAGATTAGAGGATACACTAATAGTATTAGAGATAAGTAAGAGATAAACTCTTTATTAATTATCAACATGATCATATTAATCATCTTATTTACATAACACCATACTTGTAAATTTTATCAAGTATTCATGATGCTAACTTATGTTGACAATAAATCAAGTTCCTTTCACAATAACAATGTCGGCCGAATACTATGAAGGATCAAGTATTTGATGTACCAAGTGTTATGCAACACAAATCTAGATTAACCATTTAACAAGCAAGGTATTAAGAATTAATAAGATAAAAATGATAAGACATGTTAATAGCAATTTGTTTAGGATATAAGTATTGAAGTCTATATTGAGTTTATATTATATTTATCCCAGCACTATTAGTGAAACCTTTTCACCTTGACATAATTAACTTAGCTAGACATTATGAAGAAGAATAACTTAAAGAAACAATACAAGAACATAAACATGATATAAGTTAACTAAGTATAGTAAAGGAAATGAAAAGAATGAGCAAGAGATTAATGAAAGCAAAACTTAAGCATTATAAACATATAAAAAGAGAGAGCAAGAACATGATCTTGATATAAAAAACAAGATGCCCAAATGAATGAAAAATGCCTCCTTTTATAGGCTAAAATTCAAAACTATTTATGTGGTAATTGATAATTGATGTAGTGACTAACTATTGATTAGTGGACTTGGTGGACAACATCACTCAAGCACTTTGGCTGGCTAAATTGACATTGATGTAATCAGAATTTAGCAAAGTGTCCTTCATGAAATTGTTGGAAATTATCTTTTCCTTCCACCCATCAAATTTTAGATCATTTGGAGTGCTAAAACTCGAAATATATCTAAATTATTGAGTAGTGCTACTGGTGGACGTGGTGGATAGCCCTGATGCTCTTGTCTAGATGAAATGTCACTTCTACCATCCGAATTTCAGCTAGTCCTTTTCATGAAAGTTATTGGAAATTATCTTTTCCTTCCACCTATCAAATTTCAGATCATTTAGACTTCTAGAAATCCAGTTATGGGTAAAACTTTGAGTAGTGTTTGGGTTGGATTGCAAGACAGATTCAGACTTCTCTTTTGTGGCCAAACTTTGAATTTAAAAATGGCAATTTTAGGTCTTTCCATACCTATGAAAGTTGTAGGTCTATATCTTATCTTTCCAGCCATCTAAATTAATATGAAATCCAGGATCTATAGCTCTAATTTAAAGTGAATCGGCATCTCCTTCGTAAACTTAGCCTTTTCTTTGCCCTTTCACTTCCAATAGTTAATCACAACAATCAATCCTTTGAATTGTGAGAATACCTACATTTAAAATGAGCATTTATCATAAATTAAATGTATCTTATATTATCAGACTTATTATTATAAAACATGCTCTAGTTAAAGAGTTATTGATACTTCAAGTGCAAAATGATGATATAAAGCCTTGATAAAAATGCACTTTTAAGTACTAATCACACCCCCCAACCAGCTTATTACTAGTCCCTAGTAATCAAAGTGTTAAAATAGAAAAACAATTTGCAAGTTCCCCAAAGCAAGGTATTCATCATTTAACTTCCATTACTCTATCCAAGTAAACAAACTCTCATTAAATTTATATATATCTGCTTCATATTGTTGAAATAAGATATTAATAAACCTTCTTTTTTTATATGCTCAATGTATGAAAACATAGATGATGGAGCTTTTATTAGAAGAAAATAATATTATGTTTGAAAACAATATTATGTTTTAATGTTTAA